GCCACAGCCCGCGATGATTTGGGGTGTAAGGGCCCTGCGGAGCCGGTGCCGGGCGGCTCTGCCTGAAAACTTTGGGCCTTTTCATATTAGTTTAGGGCTTTTAAAGGAAGCGAGGTTTACTTTTCCATCATCCCGGTTAGAACCTTTAACGCTGCTGGACAGTGAGAGTTTTCTCTGTAGGATTTGGGTTGGGTTTTGGGTTGGGTTTTTTTTCCCAATCTCTATACATCGTTCACGTTTGTTTTTCTAATCAGGCATCTTTTTGCTTCCTTTTTCTTAAACGATCTTGCCGATATGGACTGAAAAAAGCTTTCTTTTCTGACTCCTTAGAAGGTTACTTGAGGAGGACTTGCATACTGTTCTTTTACAGTTTTGTGTGGGGTTCTGTCTTCAGGTACTCCGGGCGTTGGGAAAACCACACTGGGAAAAGAACTTGCGTCAAGAGCTGGGATGACCTATATTAATGTGGGTGACATGGCAAAAGAAGGTAGGCCACGGTAACGAAGCAGTCCATCAAAGTACTTCAGAGATTTTTGCTTGGTGTAACCAGGTGCTTGTAGTGCATGTATTGTATATGAAATGAAAAGGCAATGAATTGGCTTTAACAGAAATGTTTTTGGTGACATGCTTTTAAAAAGTGTATGTGTAACAGTGGCACTTTCTTTTAGTAATAAACAACAAGCTTACCCATATATAGATTTGTAAATAACATGTTCCGTGCTCTGAACACTGTCTTTCATTTGCGTCCTCCTGAAATAAGCATAATAGGAACAATTTTAATAACCACTGTTACTTCACAAACTTGCACAAATTATTTTTGCTGCAGGAGAACTGTATGAAGGTTTTGATGAGGAATATGATTGTCCAATTTTGGATGAAGACAGGGTAAGCCCAACATCAAAACCTACCATTTTTGTATATTTACTTTCTGTAATTTCAGATAAACTTGCCTGTCTTTGTTTCTTTTGTTAGGTAGTCGATGAACTGGAAGATAAAATGAGTGAGGGTGGAGTTATTGTTGACTATCACGGCTGTGATTTTTTCCCTGAACGTTGGTTTCATATAGTATTTGTACTTCGTACGGAAAATTCATTTCTGTATGACAGACTTGAAAGCAGGTATGTCAGTGGAGTAAATAGGTGTGACTTCATTGGAAGTGTGAATTACAGGGTGTGAATTACTGATTCTGCACAGATTGCAGTTCTCTGCATATCTGAGGTTCTCTTGGTATTCTTCTTGTTTTGTAGAGGCTACAAAGGGAAAAAGCTGCAAGACAACATCCACTGTGAAATTTTTCAGACGCTTTATGAGGAAGCTATGTTGTCATACAGAGAGGAAATTGTTCACCAGTTACCCAGCAACACTCCAGAGGACCTAGAGAGAAACTTGGATCAGATTATGCAGTGGATTGAGCAGTGGACGAAGGACAACAATTGACATTTGCTGGAAAAGTAACGGCTGGATCGCTTTTGGGGGAAGGGGGCTTAATAAATGATTAATAATTATTGTATGATAAATTACAATTAATTCTACAGTAATTTGATAGGGTTGGGGACTAGAACAAGGGTCAGAATAGCCAGGCTTTGGGGCAGCCCATGCAGCATTCTGGTGTCACCAAATACGGGATAATACACTCTCCAGTGCTCAGTTTAGTATTAGAAAGCAGGCATCACGTTATCTGGCGCCAGGTGCAGGAGGGATCTCACCTCCTGTCATGCGCAGCAAACAGGGTTCTTTGTTCTGTATTTATACACAAAACTTCCAGGGTTAGTAATTTTCCAAGCCCACACCCTTAAAATGATTGGTTAGTGATTTACATACAATTATAATACTGCGGACACATTATTTCCGCTATGATGGATGCTCAGGGGAAGGGTCTTTTTGACCCATGGGCGTGCGTTTTAGTATTACAATGAGGGCAGTTCAGCTAAGGGTACATGGTTCTTGATTTTTTTTGCCAAGTTGGCAGTGTCCAGAGAACATCTTCAAAACATCTTGATTGTTTCTTCAAGGCCTAGTTGTTCCAGGATGTCCTTGGTCGATGAATGCTGACTGCGTAGTCATCAGGTTACGTGTGCAAGTCGGTGGCATCTTGCACGAAGCACGTACATCGTTTCACGTTGCCCAGTCAACCCTCAACACTGGGAGGGGCATGCAGGAAGACTGACATGAGAAAATTGAGCAGGGGACGAAAAGATGAAAATTACGTGGGTGACCTCAGTGGCAGGAACTAGGTTCAATAATTGAGATATTTTTTAGCTTACAGTTAAAACCAAACCATCCCTGTCATGTGTTTCCCCACTCTTCCCACCCCCACCCCCCAAAAACTGTAAAATCATGTCCTGATAACTGACGGCAGTTGAGGAGCTTTTGATTTCTAAAGGGTGAAAAAGGCCCCGAGAAGGAGTTAGTCTGTTTCTGAATTTTTAGACTAAAAACTGCTCTCCTCCATTGCGCCCTTGAAGGTGTGGAGGCTAATGTAGCGTAAGGGGTTTATGACATAGTTTAAGGAGGGTGCTTTGTTTAGAGGTGGGAGAAGTGACGTGGTGAGAGGGGTATTTTCAAATGATTACACAGAGCTTTGGGGATTGT